ATATCTCAAAGTCTCATTCTTCACCTTATCTTCACAGTAATGACAGATGAAATGGTGAAGCAGCAGATAGGATAGCAAGCTAATTCAATTGACAATTAACCACCTATCTGTCTGCACAAAGATTAGGTTCCATGTCTAAAAAGAGACACCTTAACCCATTCTTCACCCTGCACTCTATTTAACAGCCACCAGGGGCAATACCTGGAGTTTCCAAAAGACTTCTTATTCTATAGAAGGTTGTGGGAAATGGCTCTTGCTTCTGGTGGTACCTTATGCATATTTTACGGTATTGGGTATGCGAGTTTCCATACAGATTTCTACATGGACAGCTTCCCCAAACATGCCCTCATGCAGTCCTCCAAAATTCCAACTGCACATTGGTAAACACAGATGACCTATTTATCAGTTGAATGCTGATTGGTTGACAAGTTAGCCAGAATAGGTTGGATTTATTTTATGAACCATAATCATACAGGAAACGTGGTAAAACAATGTAAGAGCAAATGTGTCTTATAGAGCAACTTTCATTTCGGGGGGCTAGTGCCTCCCCATCCCCCCCTTGGAGAGACCCCTGCCGGTTTCAGACGTGATCTTTTTTTCCCTTCCTTTTTTTTTTAGTAATTTCAAACCATTTTGATCCCTTTAAGCTACTCTGCATGCCAGCTTTGCTTCACGGTGCAGTGGGCTTGTTATGAAACCACCTCCTCCTCTCACTGACTTGTTCCTTTAGTTTCGTCGTCCAGGCTGCTGAGGTGCTGCAGCACACTCTCCATGGGAACCTCCTCCGCCCCTTCAAACTCTCCTCCGATACAGTCTCCTAGCACACCCGCGACCAGCGCTCCCCTGAAGCGGGACAAAGACGCGGGACCTCCCGCGGCTGCCGCCGCTCTCACCGCCGTGACTGCCATTCATCCGACGGGGAAAATGACTTCAGCCTGCTCGTTTCTCCGCTGACCCTACTCCCAGACAGCTGGCGAGCGGATCCAAAGCAATCCACAACAACAACAAACGTCGACCTGAAGCTCTCTCTGCACGGCTTCCGGAAAACGTTCAGATCACCATTTGACCCCCGGTGAAAGTTCGCACATAGAAGTGCAGCCAAGCAGAGAAGACCTCCATTAAACGACAGCATTGAGCCTGATCTAGTTCACATATTTCTATGCAATGTATACCGAAACTGCTATAATAAATGCGCATGAACTTTATACAATATTTTTCTTAATCGGCATCAGGTTTATTGACCAAGCATGTGTTCACAAAGAATTGGTCCGTGTCTTTTTGCTCGCAATTTACTTCACAGAAGAGACACCTGACACTACCGACAACAGCCACGTGAGCGAGACATTAACAATAGTAGAACTGGCCTTTTAAAAAGACAGAAATTAACAACAGTGAAAATCATAATCAAATCAAAATTTTAAATAAAACTTCTAGATACTTATTGGGGCTTACCAGGACATAAAAGCTAGATCTAATTATTAAAATGCTTTCAAAGTTTACAGGCTTTGCCATGAGTTATAGCTACAAAAACAACATTTTCTCTGCTCACTTTTCTTTTTCATTTAATTTATTACAGTTATTTTATTTATTAGTTTTCCTGATAAATACCGCTTTAAAAATGCATTTGTATAATAAGATTGCATCAGTAGGCTCAGGTAACATACTGAACAGCACAGGAGCACCACTGAGAATTGTCTAATCACCTTTTCCCTTCACCTACTACACCTCAGACTCAAGGTACAGATCAGACTTGTGCCACCTACAGAGATTTCTAGACAGCTCTGCTGTTGTTGGCTGTATCACTGATGGAGGTTGAAATCTAGAAGTACACATAGACAAAACGATTAGGAAAGTTCTGGTTTAGTTCTGAGAGTGGTACCTGAGATGCATAGCTGGACTGGCCATCGGGCAT